GCCCCATCATCTCTGCTCAACTTCAAGTTTACAACCAAGAGTATGCACTCTCATCACGTGTACTGTGACTAATTATACATAAATGGATCAAATGATCATACAAACAAAATGTTAATTGAATACAAAGTGTTATATGGTGAAAAATAAGGTATGAATTTTCGATATGTTTTTTGTGACTAAGCACCATACTCCGTCCACGTGTACTGTGACTATGCATAGTGTATGTCGCGTGTCAAACATAGAAGGAGTTACTCTCACTTGTAAGATTGATAAGGTTGTTTCAGCAGTAAGGCTCAGGACTAAACTGTTATCTAGATCACTGGTATCTTATGAGATGACTACTTCAATATTAAGTCTCCAGTAAGGGTGATTTGTCAGATCTTCATGAGTAAGACCACTCATCGAACATTATAGTGGGGTCCTCTACCCCAAATCAAGGATCCATATTCATTTTCTTATAGCTAAAGAGCAATTGTTTCTCTTGAGAGCAAATATTTTTTGTAAACACTGCAATAAGATAACAGTAAATATAGGATTTACACCTTGCATCCGAACCACTTTAAAAATTGTTTCTACTCTTTTTATTTATTTTCACATATTATTGTTATTATTGCCCATTGGTTCAACATCATATTTCACGGTCTTGCACAGACACTTGTGTGAACTCCCATAGAAAGCTGACGTACTTCTTGTTGGTGCGAAAATCGCAACAACATAAAGTATATATTATTATATGTCGTTCAATAATATTATGTAATTCATATTTATTTAAATAACCATATATATTCATTGTATATATGTTTCGGATGTGACTATAACTAAATAAAAAAATGGTCTATTTATTTTTTTTTAAATTTTTTTAACATACTTCGCAGGAACAAAATGGTCGATATGATTAGTGCCAAAATAAAATGAATGGCTATGAAAATAATTTGGATTTTGGGCCTAAATTTGGCACGCGCCTAACGGGTGTGCAATTTCGGCCTGACCCATTACAATTAGCTGATCCAATTGAATCAAAGTCCAATGATAGAGAGCCTTTGTCGATTGAATATTGTTATTTTTGCCAGTGATGTTATTTAGGCCTCCTTATTTAATTGCACATAATCCCTTTGGAGAGAAACCATTTAATAATAAGGGGCCTCCACTAAGTAAAAGAGAGGCTGCATGAAGGACACCTCATCCACAATACTTGGAAGAGGACACTTGACAAGGTATTTGTCCACAGTCCCACTACAAGAGGAGCAATTACAAAATAAAAAGGGTATGACAAAGTACTCCTTTCTCACCAAAAAAGGTTCATTCACTCTCTATTTTTATTAGCATTCTTTCAAGAATATTTTGGGTTTAATTATTATCAATTAATATACACTTAAGAAGGGGGGGAAGCCAAAGGGCTGACGAGTCTAGTGTCATAGAGGTGGAATGTCGAATGCATGGATAACTATTTCGAGGTAAGTTTTGTACTCGATTGGATTCATTGACTAACTTAAGCGTTAAAGGTTCCACCAGTGACACCCCCACTAGCCCCCTCCACTCTATTGTTGCACAGTAGGTCAAATTTCAAACCTTAGAGCTGAAATGAGAACCAATGGATTCCAAGAAACAAAAAGACCATTCACCCACGAGCCAATTTTGAGATCAACAAACCACATTTGAGAGTAGCACTTTCTGAATATGATGAGCTATAAAGATTAACAGAAGCAACACGTTTTCTTTTCCCCGTAACTTGTGCTTTGAATTATGAACATTTTTTACAATTTCAGTTTATGGACTTCAACATATGATTTGGATTAAAAAGAATTACGAATTAAGTATAACGTCAGCTGACATGCGAATATGAAATGAAAATATGTGATATTATTTTACTACTTATTTACTAATATATATGTGTGTGTGACATTATTTTCATTCCTATTATATTTTATATATTATTCTATTTTATTTATTATAGAAATTACATTATTATTGTAATATTTTTTATCCTTACACAATTATTACACTTTTATATAAATAGGTTATGTATTCACATATAATTCACAACAATTATGGGTGTTTAAAAAAATATAAAAACCAAACCGAACCGAAAAACCAATTAACCGAAAAAACGGTTCGATTACAGTTCAAAGAATTCAAAAAACTGGATTTTAGGTTCGGTTTTTGGTTTGGGTTGTTTTTCATTGGGACTTATTTAGTTATTTTGTTGTTCTATTATAGATCTTTCATTACGGACTTTTATTTTTGTTTAATTTCGGACTTTTATTTGTATTAACTTTTAATGTATTGTTAGTTGTGGTCAATGGATATGTATGAATATTTAATTTTTATTTGGATACGTATTGTTGATGTTTACAATTTAATTTACGAAAAAATTAAAAAAAAATAAGTTTTATCCAATACAAGGGGGAAAATTGGTTCAAAACCGGCTAACCGGTTTTACCGGTTTTTTCAAAGCAGTTAACCCGTTTTTTGGTTAACAAAAACAACAAGTTTTCCCCCCAAACCAGTTCGGCTTCAATTCAGGAGTTTTCCTATACCGAACCGATTCGGTTCAAGAAAGCGGTTAACTAGTTCGGTTAATCGCTTTTGAACACCCCTAACAACAACTCAATACAATTAATTTGAATTCCTCTCAAATATCTCTCGAGCATACTTCGACCATTTCAATTGTCTTTCTTACCCTCTCAAGGATATCTTTCGAGCATACTCTAATTCTTTTCAATTGCCTCTCTTACCCTCTTAATTTTGACAATACCCTTAGAAAAAATCTTGAATACATCAGGAGCATCGCACAATAATATTTACAGGTAATAATAAATGGTACATCATATGCCAATAAATGAAATCAAAATTTAAAACGATTGCTAATTTGGCATCAGAGGGGACAGACAAACTAAGACAAACATTTCACCCCAATTTTCTTTATAAGTTCTTGTCCTGTTAAAGGACGAGTAATACTATACACACAACCCATTCTTGTTCTTACAAATTTCTTTTACAATCCCGATGTGATAACTAAGTTGGCACTGTCATGCCAGCTCCATCACACCTAAAGCACAAAATGATTTTGACTAGACCTAAGAAGCGGCTGTTCCTTCATAGTGAATGGCCATTCCTTGTTGAAGTTATTCTATGGAAATGTCTGTTCTTTTGAAGGAACGATCGTTTGTTTCTAATAGTATTTTGGGTGTGGTGGGAGTTGACGTGACAATATAAATAAGAGTCCTCCACCTCAAATCAGGGATCCAGAATTTCATTTTCTTAATACCTAAAGAGCAATTGTTTCTTTTGAGAGCAAATATCTTTTGTAAACACTGCAATAAGATAACAGTGGACGTAGGATTTGCACCTTACATCCAAACCACTTTAAAAACTGTTTCTACTCTTTTTATTTATTTTCACGCATTATTATTATTATTGCCCATTGGTTCAAAATCATATTTTGCGGTCTTGCACAGACACTTTGTGTGAACTCCCACAGAAAGCTCACGTACTTCTTGTTGATGCAAAAAATCGCAACAACATAAAGTATTATATTATTTATATTGTTGTTCAATAATATTATGTAATTCATATTTATTTTAAAAACAACCATATATATTCCTTGTATATATGTCTCGGATGTAACTTTAACTAAATAAAAAAAAATGGTCTATTTATTTATTTTTTTAATTTTTTTTAACATACTTCGCAGGAACAAAAAGGGTCAAATTTCAAACCTCAAAGCTGAAATGAGAGCCAATGGATTCCAACAAACAAAAAGACCATTCACCCGAACGACCAATTTTGAGCATCAAATATGATGAGCTATAAAGATTAACAAGAAGCAACACGTTTTCTTTTCCCCGTAACTTGTGCTTTGAATTATGAAATTTTACGCAGTAAATAATATACATTCCACACATCCACCCACTACTTTCCTACCTAATAAAGCAAAGCTTTCCCACAAATTTATATTAACCACTTATTAATTATTTAAAGAATCTATCAGTTTAGATTCATAAATGCTAATTTATCATTTTAGATTTCTTAACATGACCTTAAGACAAATTGATTATTTATATTCAACTAGTATTTGTTGAGTCTTAATTATATCATAATTAATTCTTTGATTAAGACTTTGACTAATTGGTTTTAATTGATAACGACACTGGACTCTTCTAACCACTGTCAAGAAATTGCAAAGGAAATCCCCAAATAGGATTTTTGCCCCAGGCAGCACGTTATGCTGTGTATGAAACGAAGAAAAATAACATATTCAACCTTGTAAGGGTCCAGTTGAATATATTTTTTAGAAATTTTACTGAATTCTGGCGACAAATATTGCGCTCTTTGTGTGTTTGGTTTGACAGTGGATAGTCTTTATTCTCTGCATATCAGCCTGTTACAGTAAAAGCTTGGAAATTGTTGTCTAGTGGGGGCAACCTCAAACAATACGTATTAACAAGACTTGAGTCTCCTTATGCTTTTAGGAGTTTGGTCTTGATTATTAACGTGTATTGATTTATACTCAAGTCTAGGTTCATATGACTTTAATTTGTGCTTTGCTTTTTCTTTCAACAAGACTTATTTAGTCCGTGTTACACATATTAAGTTGTTTTTTTCCTCTAAAATAACGAGTAAAGGACTGAAGGAGGAAACTTCAACCCACTTGTGAAACACGCAATAGCCAAGACTATACACGTTTTCATTACTTTTTTCATGAACAATTTTTTTCACCTCTACTGTAATTTCACCCCGCACATATTGTAACATTAAACATGTTTTGTATACTGCCATCAATATTTTTTTGGCTTCTGATGCTCTGTTAAAACGAAACTGGACTTGATGTATACAAGTCCAATATTGTTATCAAAATATTATACAAGGTGGGCGGGTTTGGATATAGAATTTAGTGAGATACAATTTATTATACAATCTGTCTTGGGTCGTTGTTCATAAGTTGGTTATATTTATTTCTGAAGGAGACTCATATCGTAGTTGGACTAGTCTCTGCAAATCAAACGCAAACATGGTTGGAAAAAATGCAAGTACGTGAAGATAAAGTCATCAAGTCAACTATGCACCCAAAATTTCCAAGTCTTTCTATTGCTTTCCTTTTATCTTCCAAAGATGTGATGTTACTCTTAGTTTCTTCTATATTTTCTTGGCATCAATGGATTCAGTTCCCTCATGATTCATTCTCCCTAGGCCTTAATCCCACCAGAAATGACGAGTTTCAAACTTTTCTCCTCGTCGCCTTTTCTTTGTGCTCTAGGCTTTCTAATACTAGTTCTTGTCAATATTCAGTTATCTTTAAGCAATCCTGGTTCATTTGAAGATTGTAGACTTCAATTCACGTGCGGGAACATCACAGCTGGTTATCCTTTCTGGGGAGTCGAAGGCACACAATACGGTCGCCCAGAGTTATGTGGCCACATGGGTCTGGAGCTTTATTGTAAGGAGGATACGACATTCATTATGATCAATCATGTAGAATATTGTGTTTTGAATATCTCTGAGTCAGCGAAAGTTCTAAACATTGCGAGACAGGACTACTTGAGCGGCATCTGTCCATATGATGGATTGGTTAACACCACCTTTGAGTCGACACTTTTTGAATATTCTCCTCGGTATGAGAAATTCACATTACGTTATGGTGTCCCTCGCGGTCAAATATTTTGCTCCATAGAGGAGATGGAGAAGAACTTCAATTATACGGATGGTTTAATATCGACACTCGGATCTGGTTTTATGAATTTTAGTGTCACTGTTCCGGTTCTTAAAACTTTCCTTGAAGAAGCAAATCGAAGTCTATCAGTTGTGGAAGAAGCCCTGAAACAAGGATTTGAAGTGAAGTGGAAGGTGAATGGCATGGAAAACTGTTCTAAGTGCATTCAATCCCATGGAAGTTGTGGTCCTGGACCTCCTGGTCTCTGGAATCAACCAATTTGCTATTGCCCACCTCAATCTTTCCTCCTTCAAGATCAACGAGTATGTTCAACCTTGCCTCCACCAAAAGGTCCTCCAGATACATCAGGTAAGTACCTCAATTTTTATGGCAGTGCTAATTACTATACCAAAATGAATTCTTAGTTTACACAAATTAAAGGAACATTATTATTATTATCATTATTTTACAGCCAAACTTCTAATCATACGCATCTCGAACCACAGACCCCAGACTTTGGTTCTAATAAGGGTCATGGTCATGCATCAACTTTCACACACGGTCAAAGAAGCACCCGTTTTAATAGTATCCCTATCATAGCAGACACTCATGCCTTACACTCAGCCAATAAGATTCCTTGATATCAAAATTAAGCACTATAGATGGTAACGCGAAGCATTTTTGTTGTTTAGTCAATAAAAAGCTCTTTAACAGCCACTAACCACTAACTATTAACTTCATAAACTTTATGTTCAACCGAGGCTAATCAGACGCCTAAAGCAAATATAAAGTAGAAGAGGAATATTGGAAGCAAAACGATTGGTTTACGCAGTGCAAATTTCAGAAATCTAAAACCACCTTGTCCTTATACAGAAATCAGAATAAGTTACGCTATCTCTTTCGATGTCACTATCCTTAATTTAGCAATCATATTAAAAGCATTACTGCTAAAGTGTGTGTCATCATAGAGAGTAGTTAAAAGTTTGACAAAGTCTATTTGACTGCAAAATCACTTAAGCTCATGAGTTTTTCTTTACTTCATAGTAGGATCACTCCCTCAATAACAAGTCATCAACAGATGTGAATTCATAATTATGATTGAATTTAATAATATCGGCCGTCTTAGCCGCTGCAGTTTCAATAAGCCAAGTCACCCCAGTTGAATTGGATTAAATTTTGTGAAACCTCTGCTCATTGATTTAGGCAAAGTATTTACCACTATGACTAAGTAGTATAACTTTTCCTTGTGGGTATCTACTTTCTACTAATTATTTTTACATTCATGTAGACTAGATATTAATATTCTAGAAATTAGGTTGGTTGTCATTGTTTTGATATTAATTGATTTATTCAAGTAGGCAGCACTACTTTAATATCATAATTGGTAAGTAAGACATCTTAATTCCTTCCAAAGCAAAGTCAGAGACTCAGAGTAAGTATTATAGTAGAGAAGACTATTTTAAATGGTCCTTGTGTCCATCTATTATTAATAAGATATACTGACAATAATAAAATATTTGATAATTTATGTCTATCATTAAATGCATCAAGCTAGGTAAATATTAAAAAAAGAATGCAGAGAAAATTTGTAATATACAGTTTAACTATTTTAATACATTTTATTGACCAAATGCTGGAGACATAGAAGGTTGGAATCGATTTTATTAGTTAATCATTTTCTGCGTATTTTCAATAGTATACCTAATGGACTATACGACATCCATTAAATGTTAGAAATCAACCCCATTTGACAAAGATGTTAACCCTTCTTGTATGTTTGATGTGTTGAACTTGTTGATGAATATCTTGATAACTTATTACTATGTTTCTCTGTTCTGATCGTCCCATTGTCATTTCTCATAGCTTTTATGCCACTGTTTTATCTTTTGCTAGCATCGTGAATCATATAATTTTCAGAGTTTTGAGAAAGATAATTTGGAAACTGTACAGCTGTTGATGTGAAATTCTCTGCCAAATTAATAAAATTCTCAATAGCACGTAGACTTTTCATGATTAATTATAATCTAAGCCTATTTAATATTAGCTAACACCCTGGACTAATTCCGAATCAAGCTTCATATTCTTTCAAGAGAAGTTGCAACGTCTTCTCATAATGAGACGAGCAATGGAATTTCCTTCACTTTCATCACAGCTTTTATGGTTTTCTATCCATACTCTTATTTGGATGATCTACCTACTCTTTCCTCCTTCAATTTCTCTCAAATGATGCACCCTCATTATTTCTCCATCATCTTCTTCCTCACTTTCATCTTCAATACTCAAACATCTTTATGCACCGATGATATTCGATACATAAACTGCAGTCTTCCTGTGTACTGTGGAGACCAAAGCATAGAAATCAACTACCCTTTCTGGGGCGTAAACCGTCCAGATTACTGTGGTCAACCGGGGTTCCAGATAGAGTGCCAAGAGGGTGTTCCCAAGATCAACATGATGTCGAATACGTTTAGAATTCTTCACATTAATTCAACCACACAGACTCTTAAGGTCGCTAGAGATGATTTCTGGTCTAGTATTTGTCCAGCTTTTCTCTTCAACACCACCCTTGATTTCACCCGCTTCAATTATGCCCCGGGACAAAGGAACCTGACCCTATACTACGGCTGTGCTTTGCGCTCCGATCCGGGCAGAGGGTCGTATATTGTCTATCCTGATTGCGCTGTAAATGATACCAGCATGGATGTTTTCTATGCGCCCCAGAGTGCCCCAGTTGACCCGTTAATAGTAAGATGCAATAGCAGTGTCATTGTTCCAGTTCTTGAAACAGCTGCTCAGGAACTTGATCAACGTAGAAATACCATCAACGTTACATTAGATGAAGGTTTTGAATTGCAGTGGAATTTAGGGAGCGACCAATGCAGCACATGCGTCAACTCCGGCGGGTTTTGCGGATATAACTCAACGAAGAGTCTATTCGTTTGCTTTTGCCGTGATCAGCCCAATGCAATTGAATGTTCATGTAGTCCAGGACCTCCAGCAGGTTTGTTTCCTTTATTACTCTATTATAACTTGACGTGCTTCCTCGAATTGATTCATCCTGAAACTCAGACCTTATATTATCTTTGGCACTTCAAAATGTTTTTTTTTTTTTTCCTCTGGTTTTTGCCAATTGATATTCATTTGTCGTTGCCCTGTTGGGGATAATAAGTTTCTTTAAATACCTAACGGTTGAAAGCTGTTCGCGGATGTCCTTTTTGATTTTGAGGTCCATTTACGGGTTCTAGTATCGAATTTGAGAATCTTTAAGTTTTCACACCTGACATAGGAGGTTTCGTTCAGCTTACGCCTGGAAATATATATAGGAACCATCATTTTATATGAGTCGATATTTCAAATATTAGTTTGGTTCACAATTTTATGTTTTTGGGAAAAGTATTTTGAAAAAAGTTAAAAGAAAAAGTTGAATTAGGCGGGTATTACGATGTAGGATTTACAAATTGTAAAATACCCCTTATGTTTGTTTTTTTACAAAACACCCCTTATAATAAAACATTAAAGTTAACAAAAATACCCCCAATCCACCCTCAAATACGGACAGTCGACCACCACCGCCGGAGGGTGGCCGGAGTTGCCGTAACAAAAACATTAAAAATATTTAGGGGTATTTAATTAAATTAACAAATTTAGGGGGTTTAAAAAATATTGAATAAAGTTGAATAATATTATGAGTTTTTGGGTATTTTACTGTTTAATTTTTTTTGAGAATAAAGTAATATTCCCAAAATCCAACCAAACGAAGCATTAATTTTCTAGGCTACCTAAACTGGGTGGACCGCAGAAGCTTCCCGTCAGGAAAAATAAAGACCTTACTTGGTCAAGTCCAACAATTAATTTTCTATGACGGAAAGATGTGAAATGCGAACCAATTTAGCTCTATTATAATTTAAATCAATATTAACTTCCACATCTCTCTTGTCTGTCTCTCAACATGGCGCTTCATCTCTCTCCAAGCTTCTGTTTATTCTCCATCACCATAACCTTCATCTTAGTCCATGTTCCAACATCTGTGTCAGCCATTCATGCGAAATATGAAAACTGTATCGCCCCTTTTCGCTGTGCAAACTTGGAGAATATTGAATATCCTTTCTGGGGAGCGAGTAGGCCAGAGTACTGTGGGCACCCGAGTTATCATTTGGACTGCGAAGGCGAGGTTGCAGAGATTAGTATCATGGAGACAAGCTACAGAGTGATTCATATCAATAACTCTTCCGGCACTCTTACAGTAGCTGTAGAGGATTACTGGAATGACATTTGTCCCTCAAACCTTGTCAGCGGCACTATAAATTCCAGCTTCTTTAATTACACTTCCGATACAGGAAATATAACGCTGTATTATGACTGCCCTCCTCTCGTGAAAGACATTTCGGCCGCGCTGCTTCCCTTTAAGTTTAATTGTATCTTGGAAGAGACAGACACCAATAATTACTATTTCATATGGGGCAACAACAGTGTCAATAGAAACATCTTATCTTCCATTACCAATTACTTCGAAAGTTGTGGTACCAACGTTACTATTCCGGTGAGACAGTCTGCATTTCTTTTCTTGGAGACAAATCCAGCTTCGGCAAAAGTGAGTACCGCTCTTAAAGGGGGTTTTGATTTGCAATGGTACGCAAATAATACCTTATGTGACCAATGTAAAGACTCAGGTGGACTGTGTGGATTTGACACAGATACTGATAAATTCACTTGTTATTGTCCTGATAAGCCTTATTCCTGGACTTGTCCCTCAAAAAGTACATCCCATGTCTTTATTCATTACTTGTCATCCTGAGTTTCCTTAATTTTGTTGAGTTAGGGGTATTTGCTTTTAGACAGACCCAGGTTCAGATGAGCAAAAACTTGAAACTTGATTCCGAGCATTGCATATTCCTCATATTGATGCTATGTTGTTTCGTTTTTAGATAATTTATTATAGAAGGGAGTAACCTACTGGAAACACTAATCAAAGTTTTATCGACTTTAGGTTGTAGAAAAATCTCCCTTTTGTTCAAAGTGTTGACCTTTTCCACCAAATCCAGAAAAAATAACTAGAAGACAGGATGTTTTGTTTTCCATTTCCGTGTTCTTTGCCCTCTAAAACTCTTAAAAGCCAATCCTCAAAGTTCTCTTTTTCTCACTGAGAGTGTTGTCCAGCAATCCTCTGCCTGTTGTTTTAGGCCCCTGAATTCATAGCAGCTCTTTCCGTGGACGTTCTCATTATAGATAACTCCAACTAGACTGATGTGGTTTGTGCTTTTTATTTTTTAACACCAAAACTACTGTTGGAGTTGTCGACTACTTCAGCATTAATGGGTAACGGAGACGCACTTGGAGGTCCCGCTGCTCGGTCAGCTGGCGGGTGCCCCGCTCCCCGGTGAGCGGGCGGGGGTCGCGGGGGCAGCGCCCCCGAGCCCGTAGGCGGTTTTGGGCTTTTCCATGTATAACCGCTGTAGGATTCCTTTTAAGTTATTAATTCCTTTTTGGGTTGGGCTTAGGAATAGGAATTCTTGTAAAACTAGGTTTAATCTCTTAAACCTAGTATATAAACATTATTTTCTCTTGTTATGGGTGCGAGAACAATTCATTCATTGTAAACGAGAGAGGTGAGGCATATTGCAATAATATTGACTCAGCTGGACGTAACCCACATTGGGTAAACCAGGATAAATCGCGCATATTACTTTCTTGGTTTACTGTTTGTTTTGTTTAATTATTATTATTTTATTCCTGTTGCTTCTCTATTTCGTTCAACTACAAACTATGCTTCTATATGAGGCGGCTACTTTCAAATTACTCTGCAACTAAACATATTTTAGTACTCCAGATCAAACATGTATTATGTGCTCATATCAATGGTTACCTTCATTGACCAAGAGGAAATCAAGTTAAGGGAAACTGTCAAACAAATACTGCTAACACTGTAATGTAAATGTATTGGCACTCAAGTAAAAAGGTATATAATAAATATCTTAGCTGTTAGCCATTAGGTATTGGTTTGTTATTGTTGGCAGCCTATTGTGATATAGTTACTATAGTTTCATTGACGTGGAGATTGGGGCCCAGTGAGAACAAAAGTTCTGATATCTTATTAAAGAATTTGTCACTAGTCAATGGCAATTTCTTGTCCTATTTGTCTATGAAATCTTTGTTCTTGTCCTGTTCATATGAGCTGAGCTTTAGACCACCTTCTGTTTCATGTTCGTTCATTTTAGTTCGTGGAATAAAGCTGATCTATAATGATGAACTCACAAAATTTGAAACTGTAATACACTAATACAGTCATCAGTTTCGGCAGAAAATTTAATAACAGCCATTTCAATTCTCAAGAAATACATAGAATAGATTGCAGGTACCAGGGCTCCAATAGTTTCAGTTTCCGAGCTGAAAAAGCTTTCCTTGTACAAAAGCTTTGCAAATACTTACTTACAAACTATGGAATATGAATATTTTCATGACTCCCGGATTCAATATTAATTGAAAAGGCTAACTTAGTTTTCTTGATGATTTGTGGCCTGTAATGGAGACTGTCTTGATTGCTACTCTGTTCATAAAATGTTGTCTTGACTTTTTGGTTTGTCGATGGCCTCTAATTAATAATTTTGAATACATTCTTTTTGCACATTTCTACTGTGAGATATGCTTTCACCTGCACCTTCTTTCTCGTTTTGTTGGTCAAAATATGTGAACTATGTATGCATAGATCAATTCTCAGCAAATGAGAATATGATCATTTTCAATGTAGAATATTTTATATTGAGACGAGATGGTCTTGAGTCAATGTTTCCAATTACAACTTTACTTGTTTTCTGTTCAAGATCACTGACATTTCTGGATCTCTTGACAGATGAAAGGAAAAAGAAAACAACTCCTCCTAAAGCAGGTGATATTTCATTGAGTTAGAATATCTATTTAACTTTTTCTTTTTTCTAGTGAAGTTAATAATATAGATAAAGTCTAAGCAATTTCTTGTTCCATCTTTAGTCATTGGCGTAGCAGTTGCAACATGTGTGGTGGGACTGGGGATAGTTCTGATCCTCTCCATTCTTCTTATTGTTGGTAGAGGACGATTTTGGAAGAAGAAAACAGAGAATAATAAAACCGTAGAGGGCTTTATCAAAAATTACGGATCTCTGGCTCCACGTAGATATAGTTATTATGATGTTAAAAAGATGACAACATCATTCAGGGATAAACTTGGTCAAGGAGGCTTCGGTGATGTCTACAAAGGAATTTTATCAGATGGTCGTCTTGTTGCAGTGAAGGTATTAAAGGAATCCAAAGGTAATGGGGAGGAATTTATCAACGAGGTCGTTAGCATGAGTAGAACATCTCATGTTAATATAGTCGCTTCTTTAGGTTTTTGTTTTGAGAAGAAGAAAAGAGCTCTTATCTATGAATTTATGTCTAATGGATCTCTAGAAAAGTTCATATATGATAATGAACCTTCAAGTGTTACCCGCAAGTTGGAATGGGAAACAGTGTCTCATATTGTAGTTGGAATTGCCAGAGGATTAGAGTATTTACACCGACGGTGTAATATAAGGATTGTGCATTTTGATATAAAACCACACAATATTCTTTTAGATGAAGACTTTTGTCCAAAGATATCTGATTTCGGACTTGCTAAGCAATCCAACACAAAAGAGAGTATCATACCAATGTCAGGTGCCAGAGGAACTGCAGGGTATATTGCACCAGAAGTATTTTGTCGAAATTTCGGAGGAGTCTCTCATAAGTCTGATGTCTATAGTTATGGAATGATGGTTCTCGAAATGATTGGAAGGAGAAAAAACATTGATGTTAGAGTGTCTCATATGAGTCAAATATATTTTCCACATTGGATACACAAGTATGTTGAATCAGGAAATGATCTCAAACTTCATGGGGTTTCCACTGAAGAAGAAAAAGATATTGTGAAAAAGATGATATTAGCGGGCTTGTGGTGCATTCAAACCATTCCATCTGATAGACCATCGATGACCAAAGTTGTAGAAATGTTGGAAGGTAGCCTAGAAAACTTGGAGGTTCCACCAAAACCTTATTTGTCTTCTCCAACAAGATCACCACAACATTCTTCTCCTACATCATCAACATGATTAATGCATCACACAAAAAAACTCCTGTTTATTTGAGTAGTAACAAAGTGAAACATAAATCATGATATGGTATTATCCTTTACTTGATATACCATTTATTTTTATTTAATGAGTAACATAAATATTTTCACTCTTCCAAAAATTTTGTATCATATATTTTGTATATATTTTTTTTTTTCCTAATGATCGGTGGTGTCTGGATCAGCTTATGCGTATCTCAACTAATCCCCTAGGACTGTAGAACTACCGACCAAGTAAGAATTCCAATGGCCACTCCTATTAGCAACTGTGAGGACTCGAATTCATAAGATTATATTTGATTCTCCTATTGTTCGTTTATCCTTAAGAGAATTCAAACTTGGAAGACCATGTTAGATTCTACTCTTGAAAGACCATTTTGTATATCTTTTACAGTGATAACTTGAGTGCTTTTCTTTAAATATCTTTTACTAGTGATAACTTTCACAAAGATGTAAGTTGTAACAACACGAATCAAGATATATAACATAAAATAGAAAAGACAAGATGAAAAGCTGTGAGTTGGACATCACAAAGCCCAGGCGGCCCCTAGTTAGAGAGAGTTATGGGTTATGTATTCTCAGAATCTAAAACAATATAAGGAAATTATGAAAGTTACTCCTCAAGCGGACAATATTTAATCATTTTGAAAATTTATATACCTATTTAGTTGATACATCATCTTTTACCGTTGTAGATAATACTAAATACATAAAATGACCATGAAATTATATTTATTTTTAGAATTTTGTAGATGTGGTACCAAATCGGGGCAGCCTAGGTTGGGCAAATTATTCTTTGTTCTGGTTCTGGTTCACTTCAATCCATCTATAAGGACTAGTTAGAGGGGTAAGCCCATTAGTCCTTGAATTGGGCTCGTTTTCTAGATGGTTATGCCTTGATTAGCCCACCATCGGGCCTAAGCTTGGGTCACTTTATTTTGGCAAAAGGGACTCAAGTCCATTAAATGGTGGTTGGAGCAAAAATTAATTGCCTAGAAATTCGATTAGTGCATTTGGTGTATCGTATCAGATTTATTTAATTTTTTTAGAGTAATATTAAGATATTTGAAAAAAAAAAAAAAAAAAAAAAAAAAAAAAAAAAAAAAAAGATTCCAACTTAGAATTACATGATTACAGGAAATAAGTTAAATGTGTTTTTTCCTTTAATCAATATGGTGTTCACCCAAAAATATTCACATTACTTGGGTTTTAATTTTGTATATATATAACTTTGTGTTTAATGTAACAATGAAATAGAATGACAATATACAATAAATCATTTAATTATTTAAATAAAATTAAAATCAGTTAAATAAATTATTAATAGAAGACTAGTCTACATGCTTACTTTTATACTCATTTATTTAAAGATATTGGGTTTTTTTTTTGGGTAAACTTGGTAATTCTATAAAGAACGAAGATAATATACACAATCCAACTCTTGGATAGGGCCAAGAGAACAAACAAAAAAGCAAAAGGAAAGAACCCAATCCTAATGCCCAAAACCAGCCTGACAAGCACCAAAAAAGCCACTCAGACTGTTGCAAAGAAAGCAACCAGACCCTATACAGAACAACTAAAAAACCAATAAGCAAACAAGCTGCTGCCCGCAAAAAAGATATTGGGTTTTATTCTTGATTGATGGTGTTTCCTTTGTAAGAATAGGATTGAATCTTACAATCACAAAATATATTGTAACATCACTTGTATAAAGAAGTTTGTATAAATGTTGTTATCTAAATGTTACATTTATTGGAGTATAATTTACTTATTACAAATTATATAATTCATCTAAGTAGTAATGGAGAGTTTCAGCTAATAACTTTGAAAGGCATGTTTCTAGAAATGTAACCACCGCTGCATTTGTATCAAATTGGTTCATATAAATGTGTATTGACTTAGATGAGTATTAAGCGTAATTTGAAAACACTTCACTCGACTTTATCAAAGTTAAATTAGAACTTAATTGGTCATGATTCAGGATGTAAATATATTGAAACCAAAGGAATTCAGCTTCATTGTCACAGAGTACATCCGAGTCCTGCCACATATCTCTGTCTATCTGTCCAAAATGGCTTTTCATCTCTCTTCAAGCTTCTGCTTATTTCTCCATCATCATAACCTTCATTTTAGCACATGTCATAACATCTGTATCAGCCGGTGATGAGAAATATGTAAACTTCAGCGCCCCATTCACTGTGCAAACTTGGAGAATATTGAATATCCTTTCTGGGGAACGAGTAGGCGGCCAGAGTATTGTGGGCACCCGGGTTATGAGTTGGACTGTTAAGGCCTGGACCGCGTGGTCGCGGAGATTACAATCATGGGGAGAACCTACAAAGTGCTTGACGTCAATAACACTTCCCGGAGTCTCACAGTTATTATAGAAGATTGGTGGAATGACATTGTCTTTCAAACGCTTCTTTAATTATACTTCCGATACAGAAATATAATGTTGTATTATGACTGCCCTCCTCTTGTGAAAGACTTTCGGCCGCGCTGCTTCCCTTCAAGTTTAATTGCAGCTCGGAAGAGATAGACACCAATATTATTCATAAGGGGCAATGATGGTGTCTGTTGGTTCGGTGGTTCAACTGGAGAGTGATAAAGAGGATTTCAGAAAGGAAAGAGGTGGCAACAACATGAAAATGAGTGCTTTTTTTCATTCATAGAGTAAGGATAATATATGTACAAAACCAGTCTACTGTTCCACCTAAAACAACCTAATGCAGTGGATAATTTTTACACATTTGAATTTGAAATAAATTACAACAAAACATGTCTCAATCACAACTAAAATCAATTAAAAATGTCACAAAAACATCACAAAATTCATCAAAAACAGTAGCTTCAACCACTGCACCCGTAACAGCAACTTGAACACTTGGCGCCAAAACTGTTTGAAACTTTAACTGAATATTTCTGCATTTCCGGCAAATTATCACCATCTTCAACACTCGTCCTTGATAATCTTGCTGGAAACACCAAGTTTGAGTCTTAAATTCTCAAACTTGGCTTGGATAAAGCCTTGGCCATGTGTCCGCCACCTGGTCTTCACCCCTGCAATGGTCAATTTAACTTCTCCATTACTTTCCGCCTCTATCACATCATGGAACTTAATTTTGATGTGCTTGGTTCTACAGTGTAAGACATGATTTTTTGCCATTCCCATGGTTGACTGGTTGTCACAGAAGATCATAGTTGGACTCTTCTGTGTTTGTCTCAAATCCTCTAAGTTTTCTAAGCCATATGGCTTGGTTTACGGCAGTAGTAGCAGAAATGTATTGTGCTTCTACTGTGGACTAAGCTATGGTGTCCTGTTTTTTGGATAGCCAACATATAGCACTTGAATTAAAGAAGAAGGCATAGTCGGAAGTATTTTCATATCATCAATGCATCCAACCCAATCATAGTCAAAGTATCCAACAAGCTAAAAAATTTCAGACTTCTTGAACTATACACCAAGATCAGAACTTCTTTTAATATACCTCAACATCCTCTTAGCTGCCTTGAGATGAACTTCACTCGAGTCGCTCATGAACCTGAGAGGAGGCTTGTTGCAAACATTAAGTCAGGCCTGGTGTTGTCAAGTACAATAGAAAACCAATCAAACTTCTATATATTCCCTCATCAATCTTCACAGCCCTATCATCTTTGCTCAACTTCAAGTTTACAACCCGGAGTATGCACTCTCATCACGTGTACTGTGACTAAATTGTACATAAATGGATCAAGATCATACAAAAATGTAAAATGAATACAAAGTGTTATATGGTAAAAAAATAAGGTATGAATTTCGATATGTGTCTTGTGACTAAGCAACCACACTCTCGTCACGTGTACTGTGACTATGCATATGTGTATGTCGCGTGTCAAACATAGAATGAGTTACTTCACTTGTAAGATTGATAAAGGTTGTTTCAGCAGTAAGGCTCAGGACTAAACTGTTATCTAGATCATGTGGTATCTTATGAGATGACTACTTCAATATTAAGTCTCCAGTAAGGGTGATTTGTCAGATCTTCATGAGAAGACCACTCATCGAACAGTATAGTTGGGGTCCTCTACCCCAAATCAAGGATCCAGAATTTATTTTCTTAATAGCTAAAGAGCAATTGTTTCTCTTGAGAGCAATATCTTTTGTAAATAGTGCAATAAGAAACAGTAAATATAGGATTGCACCTTGCATCCGAACCACTTTAAAAACGGTTTCTACTCTTTTTATTTATTTTCACACATTATTGTTATTATTGCCCATGGTTCAACATCATATTTTGCGGTCTTGCACATACACTTTGTGTGAACTCCACAGAAAGTTGACGTACTTCTTGTTGGTGCGAAAAATCGCAACAACATAAAGTATTATATTATAATATTGTTGTTCAAAATATTATGTAATTCATATTTATTTTAAAAATAACCATATATATTCGTTGTATATATGTTTCGGATGTGACTATAACTAAATAAAAAAAAGGTCTATTTATTTATTTTTAAATTTTTTTTTTTTTTAACATACTTCGCAGGAACAAAAATGGTCGATATGATTAGTGTCAAAATAAAAATGAATGGCTATGAAAATAAGTTTGAATCTTGGGCCTAAATTTGGCACGGCCTAACGGGTGTGCAATTTCGGCCTGACCCATTACAATTAGCTGATCCAATTGAATCAAAGTCCAATGATGGAGGGCCTTTGTCGATTGAATATTGTTATTTGCCAGTGATGTTATTTAAGCCTCCTTATTTAATTACATAATCCCTTTGGAGAGAAACCATTTAAATAATAAGGGGCCTCCACTAAGTAAAAGAAAGGCTGCATGAAGGACACCTCATCCACAATACATGGAAGAGGACACTTGACAAGGTATTTGTCCACAGTCCCACTACAAGAAGGAGCAATTACAAAGTAAAAAGGTATGAACAAAGTACTCACTTCTCACCAAAAAGGTTATTCACTCTCTATTTTTAGTAGCATTCTTTCAAGAATATTTTGGGGTTAATTATTATCAATTAATATACACTTAAAAAGGGGGGGAAGCCAAAGGGCTGACAAGTCTAGTGTCATAGAGGTGGAATGTCGATGCATGGATAACTATTTCGAGGTAAGGTTTGTACTCGATTGGATTCAATTGATTGAGCGTTAAAGGGTTCCACCAGTGCACACCCCACTAGCCCCCTCCACTCTATTGTTGCATAGTAGGTCAAATTTCAAACCTTAGAGCTGAAATGAGAACCAATGGATTCCAAGAAACAAAAAGACCATTCACCCGAACGACCAATTTGAGCATCAACAAACCACA